AAAAAAAAAAAAAAAAAAAAAAAAAAAAAAAAAAAAAAAAAAAAAAAAAAATTGTGATGCACTTTTCATCATTAAGTGAAATCGTCTAGGGGCGCACTCATACGAGATGAACGGGAAAAACAGAGGTATGAAGAGTTAAAATATGTAAGCATTAGAAATAATAGCATATCTATAAAGAATTATGTACATATAAATATAGTTTTGTATGGGAATATTAAAAAAATTTAACAAAAATTTTTATAAATTTTATTTTATTTTTTTTTTTTTTTTATGAAAATAAGTAACATTATTCATATTTTAATATATTTTTTTTTATTTATTTTACTAAATATTTCAATATAATTTTTCTTTTCTTTTTCTTTTCATATTTCAATATATGCATATTTTATATATATATTTTTTGTTTTCATATAATATATTCAACTACTGTAAAAATAACTTTTCGATAATCCAAGTAGTCTTTGCCTTTCGCTTGGAGTAAAACGGGAAACGAACTCGGAGCTCACAACTTGTACGGCCATAGAACTATAAATATCGAAAAGTAACCTAATATAACAATTTATAATTTTGGAAATTCCTTACAAATACGTACATATATATTCAAAAGCACACATATACATATTCATATACATACAAATGGATAATTTTCACGTGCCAAAGAAGATCAATCGAAATGTACTGAAGGCTCTGGGTATTCTCCAGGCCGAACATTCGCTGTCAGTTTTTGTGCCGGCTTCAAGCATCGTCAAGCAGGTGGAATTTCAGATGCGTCGCGGTAAGAAAGTGGAGAATATCGAGGAGTGTGTGCTGAAGAGTCTGTGCAGTCTCACCTATCTGGGAGTTTTGGTTCGCACCGGTCACTCGGACTATGCGCTGCGTCAGGCGCTCGTATTTGAGGACGGCACGAGCGCGATTCCGTGGCTCGGCACAGTTAGAGGACTAGGGGTGAGTAGGCGTAGACAGATGGGTGCATATAGATGAATGGATGCTTACCAGGAACTGCTTCTATTAGAGTGTCGGTACAAAGGTTGCAAAGAAAAAGCCTGCCGCCAGTAAGCCCAAACCATCGGCTCTCTTGACCCGTCCTGGGTGTCGCCAAGCCGTATTAATGTCGAAGCCTTGTCGCGTTTGCCTCAAACGTATGCCTGCTAGGTCCAGTGGCCAGGAGTCAATGGAGGCTGAGCCGATAGATAAAGAATTTGCCGTTTTACGATCAGATTCAACGGATGCACCACATGATGACGATGGCGATTTCGATTCCGAGACCTTGGCATACGATTTGCATTGGGATTTTGAAAACCCAGTTCCAATATCTTCTAACAAATCTTAACAATCTTTGATGAAGGAAATAAACACGGAGAGAGAGAGAGAAAAAAAGGCCAACAAAGAAAGAAAAAACACAACAAATATTTGGAATTTAGTTCATTTGACTTTTGTTAATCATTTCAAATTAGTCTCAATTTAGAATTTATATATGTATGTGTTATTCATTTTCAAAATTTTAAATATATGCAAAAGTGAAACTATTTTTGCATTTTTGATAAGCAGTAGGTAAACTCAAGAGGATATTGCAAAAATCTAGTTAAATAAAACTAAAGCAAATTTTTATCGTTTTTTTTTTTTTTTTTTTTTTTTTTTTTTTTTTTTTTTTTATTTTT